TGCTTGGCTTCAGTGGCCTGGGGTTCGCTGGTTCAGATCCTGGGCACAGACCTATGCACTGCTCATCATGCCATGTTGAGGTGGTGTCCCACATAGAAGAACTAGAAGGACATACAACTAGGATATACTGCTATGTACTGGGGCTTTGGGGAGAAAAATTTAAAAAAAAAAGGAAGATTGGCAACAGATGTCAGCTCACAGCCAATCTTCTTCACCAAAAAAAGAAACTACCAAACTGTCATCCAACGTTCTGGTATTGTAAAAAAAAAAAAGAAATAATACTTATAATCCTTATAACACTATAAGGATTATATCCATTTTGGAAGGGTTAAACAAAATCATCTCTGAAATGTCTCATGCACAATCAATATTAGGTTCCCTTTGCTTCTGCTCATTTTCTCTAAAGTTTAGAGGTTAAATTCTTACCAACAAGTTATAGCCCTTGGTCTCTTAAAATTAGGTTTGGGGCCGGCCCCGTGGTTGAGTGGTTAAGTTCGTGTGCTCTGCTTTGGCGGCCCAGGGTTTCGCCGGTTCAGATCCTGGGCACAGACATGGCACCACTCATTAGGCCGTGCTGAGGTGGTGTCCCACATGCCACAACTAGAAGGACCCACAACTGAAAATACACAACTATGTACCAGGGGGCTTTGGAGAGAAAAAGAAAAAATAAAATCTTAAAAAAAAAAAATTAGGTTTGATTTCATCTTCAGTCCAGATCTCTGCTTTGAGTTCCAGATTTATTTTTCAAATATATACTCAGCATCTCCACTCGGATGTCTCCTAGAGACATGAGACTCAACACATCTAAAGTAATTCAAAACTGTCCCCTTCGGACCTCCTCCTCCAGGTTCCCCATCTCAGGGAATGGATAAGCTTAAACTAGAAAGCTGGAAGTCATTTTTCTTTTTCTTTTTCTTTTTTTTTGAGGAAGATTAGCCCTGAGCTAACTACTGCCAGTCCTTCTCTTTTTGCTGAGGAAGCCTGGCCCTGAGCTAACATCGTGCCCATCTTCCTCTATTTTATATGTGGGATGCCTACCACAGCATGGCGTGCCAAGCGGTGCCATGTCTGCACCCGGGATCCGAACCAGCGAACCCCGGGCCGCGGAGAAGCGGAACGTGCGCACTTAACCGCTGTGCCACTGGGCCGGCCCCATGGAAGTCATTTTTTGAAGATGTTTCTTTCCTTCACCTTCCTTGTACAGGCAAAGAACAAGTCCTTACAGTTCTAACCCTGATCCATTTCTTCAGTCTACCATCTTCTCCTCATCTCCATGGCCTGAAAGCTGGTCTTCACACATCCTCTGTTGCTCCCTTCTTATTCATCCTCCACACTACAGCCGGAAATGGCTTTTACAAATAGAAATCTGACCGTGTCCACATGCACTCTCTCCAACTCTTTAGTGGCTTCCTTTTTTCTTTAAGATTCAGTCCAAAGTCCTCAGCACGGCCCTCAAGGCTCCTGCCCACCTCTCCTGCAAAACCAGCCATCTCACTCTGGCCACAGTGGCCTTTCCCAAAGGTCGTAGCAGGTGTAGCCCCTTCCTACCGCAGAGCCTTCAAACCTGCAGTTTCCAGAGCTCCAGTGCTCTCCCCACCCCCTCCCCTTTGCTGCCTGGCCTACTCCTTTTCATTCCTTAAGGTTCTGACTAAATGTCACTTCCTCAAAGAGATCTTTCTTACCCCCTAGAGCAGACAGGTCCCTTTGTCACACACTCTCATAACTCGCAGGCGTTTTTCTATTAATCATCACAGCAGAGATGAATACATATTCTCAGTTCTAAGCCACTTGCCTCACATTTTAAGTTGCCAGCCATCGGAGAGAAGATGCAGTAGTAATGTGATCATTGTTGGCGGCACACATTAGGACCTAATTTCTGAGAAGTGGGTAGCTCTTCACCCAATTCCACCTTGAGATATTTTCAGGGATGAAATGTAACTTAAATTTGGATTCCCACTTGAATCTTGAAATATTTCAAAAATACACACTATGTTGTGGCACACAGAATGAAGAGCACTGTGCGAGTAGAAGGTTGCCCACGACAGGCCAAATAATGAAATTCAGGGCAGTTGAAACTATCAGCTCTCTCAGAAAAAATGGTAGTAGAATTTTCAAAACCAGGAGAGAGCGGCCTCTCCTGTGTATACTTTGTGCAGAAATCTTGACACACTACCTGACCCAGAGGAGGGACACTTACCTAGTTGGAGCTTTACTTTCTGCAAATGGAAGAGCAGCTAATCGCCTTCGAGTGACATGTAATTCAAAACAGTAAGAGCAAAAACCACTTGGAAGTGCAGCCAAAACACTGTTACTCCATTTTCCTTGCAATTATGCTTTCCCTCCAAATGAAGTTTAGGGGCTGAAGAACACCTGCGGGAGCCACTGTAAAGAGCTGTCGTGCAGATGGCCCAGGCTGACAACAGAAGCACCCTTCGCCCTGAAGGTGAAGGTCAAAACGCGATCTGATTGCAAAGCAGAAAAAGACACAACTGGAAAAATGTATCCTCTGGTGTCCTTTAGCACCTGAAAAGCTGCTATCAAATCACTTGTGACTTAAGAGTTGGTGGCAGCTTTGGTTTGAGAAAGAGTGTCATTAGCTGTGTAATTAAAAAAATTTTTTTTTAAGATTTTATTTTTCCTTTTTCTCCCCAAAGCCCCGCAGTACATGGTTGTATATTGTAGTTGTGGGTCCTTCTAGTTGTGGCACGTGGGAGCTTATCTTCGACAAAGGAGCTGAGGGCATACAATGGAGAAAAGAAAGTCTTTTCAACAAATGGTGCTGGGAAAACTGAAAAGCCACATGTAAAAGAATGAAAATTGACCATTCTTTTTCACCATTCACCAAAATAAACTCAAAATGGATCAAAGACCTAAAGGTGAGACCTGAAACCATAAGGCTTCTGGAAGAAAACGTAGGCAGTACACTCTTTGACATCAGTATTAAAAGGATCTTTTCGGACACCATGTCTTCTCAGAGAAGGGAAACAATAGAAAGAATAAACAAATGGGACTTCATCAGACTAAAGAGCTTCTTCAAGGCAAATGAAAACAGGATTGAAACAAAAAAACAACCCACTAACTGGGAAAAAATATTTGCAAGTCATATATCTGACAAAGGCTTAATATCCATAATATATAAAGAACTCTCACAACTCAACAACAAAAAATCAAACAACCCAATCAAAAAATGGGCTGGAGACATGAACAGACATTTCTCCAAAGAAGATATACTGATGGCCAATAGGCACATGAAAAGATGCTCATCATCGCTGATCATCAGGGAAATGCAAATCAAAACTACACTAAGATATCACCTTACACCCATTAGAAGGACAAAAATATCTAAAACTAATAGTAACAAATGTTGGAGAGGTTGTGGAGAAAAAGGAACCCTCATACACTGCTGGTGGGAATGCAAACTGGTGCAGCCACTATGGAAAACAGTATGGAGATTCCTCAAAAAACTAAAAATAGAACTACCATACGATCCAGCCATCCCACTACTGGGTATTTATCCAAGGAGCTTGAAGTCAGCAATCCCAAAAGTCCTATGCACCCCAATGTTTATTGCAGCACTGTTTACAATAGCCAAGACGTGGAAGCAACCTAAGTGTCCAGCAACAGACGAATGGATAAAGAAGATGTGGTACATATATACAATGGAATACTACTCAGCTGCAAAACAGAACAAAATCATCCCATTTGCAATAACATGGATGGACCTTGAGGGAATTTTGTTAAGTGAAATAAGCCAGCTGGAGAAGGATAATCTCTGTATGACTCCACTCATATGAGGAATTTAAAAATGTGGACTAAGAGAACAGTTTAGTGGATACTAGGGGAAAGGTGGGGCGGGGGGTTGGGGGGGGGGGCACAAAGGGTGAAGTGGTGCACCTACAACACGAATGACAAACATTAATGTACAACTGAAATTTCACAACATTGTAACCTATCAACTTAATAAACAAAAAAGACTTTATTTTTCCTTTTTCTCCCCAAAGCCCCGCAGTACATGGTTGTATATTGCAGTTGTGGGTCCTTCTAGTTGTGGCACGGGGGAGGCCGCTTCAGCATGGTCTGATGAGCAGCGCCATGTCTGCGCCCAGGATTTGACCCAGCAAACCCTGGGCGGCCGAAACAGAGCGTGAACTTAACCACTTGGCTGGCCCCAGCTGTGTAATTTTTAAAATGACAGTCTCTCTTTGCCTGACAACTTTGTTTGGTTCACTGGAATACCCCCCACTCTCCCGGGCGTAGCCCATTACCTGAATCATACACAAAAGGTGCTCAAGAAATAGTTGTTCAATAAAATAAATGAGGTATCGGTTTTACATTGCAAACTTTGGCTCACTTTTACCTAGATTTAAACACCAGTGTGGGCAAGCTCGAAAGGTCTGGCCTTCCAGCCATCTGCACAGCGCCCTTGCACTTTGCTTCCACACCTGTCTCCTGCTGGTAGGGTGCTGGGAGCCGCCCTAAACCTCATCCCCTTAGGGGTCCATCCGTTTCTCTCCGACCTCGGCTCACGCACGGCCCATTCTGCGCTGCTCTGCGGAAAGGCACGCACAGAGTTACATGTGCTTTGGTTTTAATTCCAGTCTGCGAGAAGGAAAACCGAGTCCAGCCAAGAGAAATCCCCTTGGTCTGAGAACAGAAATCATGAGTCATAGATTTGGGGGCTCGGACCTAGGAGCAGGCGGTGATGCGGCGGTGCGTGGGTCGGTGGGGACGGAGAGGGCTGCCGAGAAGAGGCCGCAGCCCTCCTCTCTCGGGTAGGCCCCCCTGAAAAAGGCCCCCTGGCTCTCCTCCATCCGTTCTCTGCCCGCGTCTTCCAGCGCTCGGCCAAGGATCCGGCAGGGGCGGCGCCCGGGCTCCAGGTCGCCGCCTCCGCGGCCACATCACCAGGCGCTCGCTTCTCTCGGGCGGCGGCGCGACTGCGCCTGCGCCGGGCGGCCGCGCGGGGGCGGGGCGGCGGGCGGGGAGCTAGCGAGCGGGCCGCGGGCGCCGGCTCCGGGCTGTCAGCGCGGGGCCGCGAGGGCGCGAGGAGGCGCGCGAGTCGGAAGGAGCCGCGGGCCCTGGGCAGCCGCCGCCGCCGCCGCCGCGGGGGGACTAGGTGAATGCGCCTTCCACCCCGCGCCGGGGTGCCTCGCTCGGGTCTGAGGAGGCGGGGTCCCTTCTTCTCACACCGGCCGCCGCCGCCGCTGCCGCGCCCCGGGGCAGGTGGGAATGGAGGGACAGCCTCGGCTGTGGCCGCGGCTCGGGCTCCGGGCGCATCCCGGGCGCTGGAGGGAGGTGGGGCGGGGCCCTGCGGGAGGGCTGGGGCCGCGGGGAGCGGCCGCGCGGCGGGCCCCCCGAGCCGCCGAGCCCCCTCCGGGCCGCGGGCAGCGCTCGAGCCCGGGCCGCCGCGCCCGCCCCTCCTCGGGCGGAGGGCAGGCTGGCTTCGGGCGCCGCAGCGGGGCGGCCGCCGGGGCCGGTCGTCCCGGGCGCCGGACGCCGGGCCAGGCTCAGGTGTTCTGAGTGATGGGTGGATGGTGAGACGGATGCAGACGCTGTGAGGCTGGCTCGGCACACCCCAGGTCCGCGGCTCGGGGCTCAGCGATCGCTCTGTGTCACCCTCTTCTTTCATTCCTTTCTTTATATAGGGGAAGTGTATCTCAGTAAAAAACCCCAAATGTTCATTTATGGAAAGGGATTAAATATACGTATATATACATATATATTACCTTTACATGTATATTACATAGCTATGCAGTCTCCTGTAATTGAACAATTTGTTGTGTTTTTTTTTTTAATTGAGATATACTTATACCATAAAATGCATCCTTTGAAAGTGTGGCTTTTCGGATATTCACAAAGTTTTGCAACCGTCACCACCATCCAGAACATTTTCATCCCCCCAAAATGAAATCCTGTGCCCATTAGTAGTCACTCCTCGTTCTCCGCTGACCCCACCCCTGGCAACTGCTAATCTACTTTCTGTTTCTGTGGATTTGCCTCTTCTGGAAAGTTCGTATAAATGGAATCATACAATATGTGTTTTTTTGTGTCTGGCTTCTTTCACATAGCCTAATCTTTTCAAGGTTCATTCATGTTGTAGCGTTTATCAGTACTTCGTGCTTTTTTGTGGCTGGATAATATTCCATTGTATTGGTGTACCACAATATCACGTTTTGTTCATCCATTATCAGTTGATGGACATTAAGGATGTTTCGACTTTTTGGCTGTTGTGAATAATGCTGCTATGACCATTGGTGTACAAGTTTTTATGTGGGCATATGATTTCACTTCTTTTGGGTCTGTATGTTTAACTTTTCGCGGAACTGTCCAACTTTTCCAAAGTAGCTGCACCATTCTACGTTCCCACCCAACAGTATATGAGGGTTCCAATTTCTCCATGTCCTAACACTTGCTGTTGTCTATCAGCTAATTTTTGTGACAGGCATCCTAGTGGTGTGAAGTGGTATTGATTTGCATTTCCCTAAGGATTAGTGATGTTGAGCGTCTTTTCATGTGCTTATTGGCCATTTGTATATCTTCTTTGAAGAAATGTCTGTTCAGATCTTTTGCTCATATTTTAATTGAGTTATTCGTCTTTTTGTTGCTGAACTATGTTGTTCATTTGTAGAAAAAATTCTAGGTTTAGGGGCTAGTTCTGACTAAAAACGCCAACCAGCCTGACACCAAGCAAGATAATGCTTCTATTTGAGGAAAAGGGAACAAGTGCCATTTATGTCTTTCAGAATACCCTACCTGTCAATTCTTGGGTATCTTACTGCTCCTTCCCCTTTTCTGATATTTTGAGAAGACCCTCAAAGGTCTGTTCGTGACATGTCAAGACTCAAGAAACACCACACACAGTTAGCATTTTCATCTCTCCTAAGCTTGGTTTGAAAAGTCCCAGTTGTGGCTTTAATTACAAATAATTTATTTTGGTGACTAGCTAAACTAATAAAAAATAGCAAACACCAATTACTCAATTGAAATTTTATATGCTTACTTCTCAGGCAAAGTGGAAGATCTTCTTTTCCTAAGTTTGTGTAGTGTTTATGAGAGTTATAATCATATGTGGGTGGCACATAAATATTTTTGATGGCACTGAACTTAAGAGCCACTTACAGCTGAATGAATGCTGCTATGCTTATTTCGTGGTGAATTTCTGAGTGTACACAAATTCAGCATTAGCCTTACGTCCTTTATAGCAAAAACCACTGAAAAAGGCAAAACACTTGCCTCCTGGGAATTCAAGCTCATTTTTCTATTACTCTAATATGACTGTTCAAAAATACACTACCAAATTTCAGAAACATTATAGAAAATAAAATTAAAGATTTCCATGTGGAAATAATGGAGAAGCAATTGATTAAAAGTGTGTGAAGAGCAGTCCCATCCTGCTCTTCAGCTATTAAATTACAAAACAATGGAAGCATTATTTAACCCTTTTATGCCTCATTGACTTCATTAGTAGAATGAGGCTAATAATTCCAATATATAACCTGAGTGTATGTTTTGTTTTGTTTTAGCTAATGGAATGATTATCAAACATATTGAAAATATAACCTATCCAATCTAATAATGATTGTTACTGACTCGCCCCTGGAGGTACAGATATCCTATAGCTACAAATCCTTTCCCAAGATGGCCTTCTCTGCCCACTGGAGTTTTTAGTGTCATTTATTGAGAAGGACTGAAAGTAGGTGGCAGTGAAAATTGGGAACAACTTTGGGGACATGAGCCCTGGGAAATACTGGTCAAAGCAGACTTGCTTTCTTTATGATAGACTTCTAGTCACCTCCATCTTTTCTCTGCAATTACTAGGTTCTATATATGTAGTTAGCTTCTGTAACTTAATGTATATGTATATAAATATAAAAATAAATATATATAATGAAAAAATACACATGTATCTCCAGTAGGGTTCAAAGGCTATTTTACCTTCACGTGAATGGATTCATCAGATTGCTTTTCCCTTCATCAGCTGCACTATGGAAATGGGAGTTTTCAACTTGAGGAGGGCAGCGAGATGTAAGTAGTGAGGGATCATGAGACATTTTGGAGGTTTGGGCACAACCTACTCTTTTTCTTAAAGTGTGGGTGTTGAAAATGGACATCTTTCAATGGACGTGAGGGGTCTGGAAAATGAGAAAAGAAAAGCAAAAATAAGTAACAATCTGGAAGAGAAGGTTGTAGGATATAAAGACAGATTCAACTTACTTAGACCTTTTTGCCCAAGAAAAATTCTAAATAGGAAATGTGGAAGAACCTCCTTCCCCTTCATTCCATTCCTCTTCCCTTTTGCCACACCTTGTTCCTCTGTTGCTCTTCTCCTAGGACTCAGAAAGCAGGCTGGGATTACTGTTGTTCATGTTGAAGCATTTCAGTGTGCTAATTATACCCCTTCTCTCTCCACATTCTGGTCAAATTGAGATTAGATGCAAGAAGCCAGATGAAGATTAAAATGCTATTGAAGTAATAGTATAATTTTCATTTCTGGTAAAGCTGGACTGGAGAATTTAGCTTAGACTCATGCTCACTCTGTTCCTTCTTAATTTACCTACTGAGATGAAACTAGCACCTAAAAAACTGCAGGTCCCCCATGCAGGGAGGGAAAATCCTGTCTCAAGGAGTTTACCTCTCAGGAGTTTGAATGAAAAGTGACACTTTCTCTTCTTGAAGCCATACAAGTCCAGGAGAGCCAGTGAGAGCTCAGGGGTGGGGCCTGTCTTCAATATTGACCTTTGTCCCTATCTTAGCTATTAGATAAGTCACTTTCCCTAGGAGGAGCTACTGCTGGGGTGGAGAGAAAGAAAAGTGTCCTTTCAATACAAATTTTCTTCTGCTTAGAGCAGTGAAAGCTCTATTGTCACTGCAGGGAGGGAGATAAGCAGCCATCCTCTCATCAGTTAAGTGTGTTGTGGGTAATAGTGTTTTGTGGGCTAGTCTAGGAAAACTTAGTCACCATTTATAAAATTGGAACTGAGAATATATTTTCCCTGAAGATAGCTAACCCTCTTAACAGTTTTTAAGTGGGTGATCATTTCATTGTGAGGTTAAATACGTAGATTATTCAAGTTCATTTCCTTACTTGTTTTACTCCTCAAACATTTATTGAGTGTCTCATATGTAAAAGGTGCGGGGCTAGGTTCTCAGAATTAAGCAGTGAACAAGAATGGGTCCTTGCTCTCGCAGAGTTTACAGCCTAGAAAGACAATTAGCACAATAAATGGTAGCATAATAAATGTTAGAAAGCGTTGAGTACTTTGGGACCACAGAGGAAGGGGAACTAATCTAAGAGGGTCACAGAAGTGATGTTTAAGAGCTAACATCACAAAGTAGAATAGGAAGTAGCCCATTGTGTCTCAGCAAGAGTGTTTCAGACAAAAAGAACATGTGGGAAGGCGAAGAAGTGAGAGAATGGTATATAAACTAGTATTTTTCAAACTGCAGGCACCTAGGCACCTACCAGTAGATTGTAAAATCAAGTGGGTTGTGGCCTGCATGTTTTAAAAAAGAAGTAAAATCGAAAATAAGAGTGTCACATGTAGATACGTACTGATTGTGACGTATAAAGTTTGAAAATCCCTACAATAGAGGAAACAAGAAAAAGAGCAGTATGACCACAGCCAAAGGTCTTGGGTACGTGGGGATGGTTATGCAAGATTTAGTTAACTTGTTAGAGCCTTTGGATTTATCTTAGAGGAGATGAGAAGCCATTGAAAAGTTTTAATCAGGGCCTGACTAGATTCATATTTTCTTAAGATCCCTTTGAGTACCTACTCTTTGTCTACTTGAGTATGAACTTCAAATTCCTTGGCCCAGTGTTACAGGTATTCCAAAATCTAGTTCCAATCTATTTCTTCTAAAGAATCTTTACACTATTTTTGGTACTGGAACCTCTCATTTCATGAAGATTTCTTGTTTGCCTAAGTGCCTTTGCACCAAGACCAAAAGATCTGTGAGAGCAGACCTTGTTTCTGTCTTGTTCGCATCGGATCTCTGGCAGTTAGCATCCTAGACTCAGAAGGGACTAAGCAAATCTTTGTTGATAGTCTAAATAGCCTTAATATTAGAACTGTTACATAGTAGTAGAAAGGACTGTAGGGGAGGAAGACATTTTTTTTACCCTCTCTGGGTTTGTCTGGCTGGAGAATGAATTAAATTCACATGAGACAGAATAGCGGGAGAAAATTAAACAAAGCTTTATAACATGTATACATGGGAGA